AGATTTCATCTAAGTTTCTTTTTCTGTCCTGGGACATCCACTACAGTCTGTCACGCCCGCCTTCAGAAATCGGTCTTCTTTTTCAGGCCAGCTTATATTTGACTACTTCAGGCTCACTTTTCCACCAGGATTATTATTAGATTATTATTAGCCTGTTTGCTTGAAAGTCTGTTTCTTCCAGGTCTAAAGCCACATTCATAATGCAACGAAAAGCATCCCTCAGCGGGGCAGGCTCTGGAGCCCACCTCACTGCTGAACCCTCCCAGGTATCCCATGCAAAACGTCCCAGGCATGTTGGGCATGGTGTATCACAGAGGCTCACTCCAGCTGTACCTAAGGCAAAGCTTGGAAGCTAGCAAGGTTGGTCCTGAGGTGTACCTCAAAGGTCTCCTTTTACAGACTGAACAAGAATAATTAGCGTGTCCAGAGGCAGGGAGGGTTTGGCTCAGGGATGCCTTTCACAAGCAGTGAAATGAGGATTCAGAGCCTTTATTTCTTACCCAGACCTCCCTCCCCTTCCCTTTAGCAAACCCGAGGGACACGCTGAGCCTATCCCTGCATCGCCTCCCCACTTTGGCCCCTGCCTCCCTGTCCGTATTTCTGCAGACAGCCAAATCCCAGCTCATCAAGCGACTCGGTGGCAGCCCGCTGGTGATGACAGCTAATTATGAAATGTCATGTCGGAGGCTTCCCTTTTTATCTCGTCTCCTAGAGCCCGGCAAAGCTCTCCAACGCCCCTTGGTAATAGGGGAAAGGAAGTGTCAGAGCAGCAACAGCTGCTTCTCCGATAGCGGGCTGACAAGGCGGTGAGTACACCACGTCCTGGAAGGAAGTGGCAGCTCACGCCATGTGGATGTAAATCTCTAGTCTCCACAACAAAAAAAAAAAAAAAAAAAAAATTGTCAAGCCCCCAAACTGAAGGTTACGATCGGCCCGTCAGCAACCCACATGTAACCAAACTGTCGTGTCTCATGGCTTTTTGCCACTCCAGCTGTCAATCAAAGCCAGGGAATGTCAAGGTAGTGAATGAATGATGGTTGATGATGATGAAGAAGAGAGGAGGAATCTTTTTAACCCCGGTTTCTTCTTCCAGTAACTCCGCGCTCGGGTTTTGCCTTTTAGGATCGCTATAGGGTTGGTCTTTTTTTTTTTTTTTTTTTTGTTTTTGCCCTGTGCTTCTGGTTGTATGAAGTCATTTTATTCTTCTCTTGGAAATGATTGTTCACCCTCATACTTCAGCGTATCTACTCTTGAGTCAGATATTTATTAGTACAAAATAGCTCCTAAGCTTGAATTTAATTTTTTTGTTCCTACCAAATCTGCATATTGGAAGAGAAGAGAAGAGAAGAGAAGAGAAGAGAAGAGAAGAGAAGAGAAGAGAAGAGAAGAGAAGAGAAGAGAAGAGAAGAGAAGAGAAGAGAAGAGAAGAGAAGAGAAGAGAAGAGAAGAGAAGAGAAGAGAAGAGAAGAGAAGAGAAGAGAAGAGAAGAGAAGAGAAGAGAAGAGAAGAGAAGAGAAGAGAAGAGAAGAGAAGAGAAGAGAAGAGAAGAGAAGAGAAGAGAAGAGAAGAGAAGAGAAGAGAAGAGAAGAGAAGAGAAGAGAAGAGAAGAGAAGAGAAGAGAAGAGAAGAGAAGAGAAGAAGAAAAAAAATTTAAAAAAGTATTCCCGTGCAATGTTATCTTTACAGAGGAAGTGTTAAACACATCTGCTGCCACCAAGGCTTGCCATCCTCCCTGTGAAACTCTACAGAACTCACTCCACGTGAGCTGCTGCAGAATAATTTAGCTAAAAACTTTGTCCAGAATAAAACTGCCCCAGCCCTATAGTCGTTCTTCAGTCTGTCTTCCTGCAGAAGCCAAATTACATCGAGGTGGGTTAGTGTGAGGTGAGCTAGGGCTCAGTTTTCTTTAGAAGTTGGTGGTTACTTCTCATTTGCTGCCTACTATAACCTTTCTACACTGTCACAAAATGGGCTTGCTAGCTTGGTACAAGTTGTTAAAGTGGGCTTTGTCAGGGTCCACTGGTCTGGGAATGGGTTACTGCCCCTGAGGTCCAATGAGCATTAAAACTAGGTTTCTTCAAAGGAAAAAAAAAGACAAGTCAAAGCTCCATAGACCAAAATTTCCCAATTTGTAAGTAATCACCTAGACTGGAGCAGTGGAGGGCACCGGAGAATTGGAAGAGGAGCATTACAGTGACAGATGGCTTCACTCTTTCAGCAATAAACCTGACACAGATGAAGATGCATGGCATGGAGCAGACTTGGAGATCATTCCCAGGAGGGTCCTGTTACCTGGCAGTCCATCTGCCTGTAGCCCATTCAGCCCCACCGGAATGGCCCCGTTCTCCTTGCCCAAGTGCTGGTCTTGCCAGTAACAACAAAACACTTGGTAATGGATTAACGACCCCCAACAAACCTGTCCCCTAGAATGATCTATAACAGGCAGAGTTTTATGTTTTGCCCTTCTTTTACACTTAGTTTCATATTTGCTTTTCTGTATTCAGTAGTAAAAATTATTTTTAGCATTGCTAAGTGGGCAGGTGGTTTAAGATCAAATATAGCCACAAGGCAAGGTAATGTAAGGTAAGTCCTGGTTGTGACAGACAAAATGATTCTGCCTTTGGAATATTTGATCTAGATTACTTGAAATTCTTCCTGCCGTACTTCCTAGGTAGTTTTCAGAAAAGCCCAGCTAGCTGAAAACATGGTTGCTCATCAGGGAAAACTTATTTCCTTGATTTGCATAGGGGCTCGATTAGATTCTCAGTCCTGATAGTCAAAGTGAGATGTGAAGCTTGGACATACTGCCTCAGAGTCTTCCAGCAGCAGGCTCTGCAGAGGGACAAGGGGGGTGAAGCAGGGACACTACTGCAGTGTGCCCCTGCACAATGCTGCACAGACACACCAGCTCTTCCAAGAGCCAGCTGGGGCTCTGGGGTGGCACCGCATGGCACCGCATAGACCTGTTCCTTCATCACAATTTCAGCTGTGACTGCAATGTCCCAGCTGGGGATGTTTCACTGGGTTTCTGGAATTACACATTTGAGGGATCAGTTCAAAACACAATTTGAGAAGAGATCCGTTGGTTTCACTGACTGAGGCCACCTGCACTTCCGGAGAATTTGGTCCATATTTTACTTGGTCTACTGTCACCTTCATTACAAAAAACCCCAAAACATAAACACCCCTATAACTCCTGAGGAAAGACACCTGCATGGAAGCAAGGGATGGATATGAGAATAGACAAAGCCTAGACACAGCTCCAAAACAGTGCTCACCATGGGGCACGAAGAGCCAGAAAAGGAATAAATTCCTATGACCTCTGTCATAGGGCTGGGTGGCTTCCAGCAGGACAGGAGGCTTTTCATGCCCTTCAAACACAACCAGACATGTGTAGGATTGTTCAGCCTCAATCAACTCAGTCAACCCTGGTTTTCGAGTTCTTGGCAGTCTTTGAGATACTGCTTGGAGCTACCCTGCGACAAAATGTCTCTAAGCACCAACAGCTGAATGATACCTGCCCCATGGAGACTCCCAGTCTCCCAGGTGTCAAGCACCCAGCTCAAATGAGCTGATGCTGGGCTACAAATAGACAAAGAGGGATCGTGGTGCCAAGTTTTTTCTACAGCGACTGCAAATAGTCCATAGAGAGCACCAGCCCCTTCCCACGCAGTCTAACTTTCACAGCGTGCTGTGGTCATGAGATGCAGATGTTGGATCTTTGCTTGTCATGGGGATTTAAACCCTTAGGGATTTTCTCTGGGATGCACGGTACTCAGGGGAAAGAAGTTGACCCCAGAGTGGCAAATAGTCATTAGCTTGATTCCAATATTACAACCCAAAGAGTATTTCAGTATTTCATACCCAACATAGAGGCTTTGAAAGGGCAGTTTCCAACTGTTCTCCTCTACCTCCCACCTCAGCACCCTGTGGGAAAGGCGACAGGTCCCATGGGACTGAGAGGACATGGCAGCTCAGAGGGACTTGAATACATTTCACAGCACAGATGGACACCTTAGTAACTGGGCCACAGGCTAGAAAGCTGGCAAGCTGTCCTGTTTTTCACTTTTGTAGTTGATGCCTAAGATTCCTCATCACTATACCCTGTAATTTGAAGCATTTCATTTAAGAGATGCCAAAATGAAAATTCTGAATGTCATTTGCCATCTTATTTCTTATAGACTGAATTCAGAGAGTACAGCTCACCTTGAAAAGACTTTTTTTTTGAGGAAGATAAATGATATGACAGTCCCTCATCATTGCCTCCCCCCACCCTCAAAAACCTTCCAAAACATGGCCATCTCTGACTTTTAGGCAAAACCCATCAAGTTGTGTCAGAAAAGGCAGGAATTTGTTTTGAAATGTTCTGATATTTTTAAGAAACTTTTAACAAGAGATTATACAGACGGATTCTTATCTCAGATGTGCTGCAGCAAATCATACATTGCTTCACTGAACTTTGATGATTTCATGAAAGCAATTCCAGATTAACGCCAGTTTAAAGTGTCTGACATATCCAGGAGGAATAAACTTGATTTTCTAGAGAACACGACTTCTTTTGCTTGTTCCTCCATCTCTTACAAAACTAACCCAAAAGTCAAAGTTGTAAAAGACTGCAATCTAAGAGCTGTCAAAATCCTGAAGCCAAGGACACTTGATGCTAAGCAATACACAGTTTAAATGGTCTGTCAATGCACATATTTTATGGAGATATTCTTCAAACTGTTCCAACCAAATCTCTCCTTTTCATGTGCTTCATCAAAATTTTACACGATACAAAAGAGCAATGCAGAATATGTCTTGCCCTGCAGTCACACTGTTCCAGTTTTGCAGTAGAAGCTTTAGCTATACCACAACACATTGCTAGTGTTGGACACACTGCTTATCAGGAAATGTAAAGAAAATAAGTCAATGTACTACTTGGATACACCACTACATTTGTACACTGCCTTCTGGATTATTAGCACTGCGTCTTAAATCAGAAATTATAGTTTACTTACAAACACATCCATTAGTAGGTGCTCCAGCGTCACTTCAATATCCTCTAATTTAGCTGCTAAAGTCATTGTGAAGTTCAAATGTTAGGTCCGGACGGAGAAGAGCCCTCAGGAGTCCCAATCCAAACAGTCTGTGGCCAAAACTAGTTCTCAAACTGTAGCAAATGAGTTTCTCACAGATAAAGAAAATCCGAGAAATCAAAACTTAACATCTGAGTCCAGATGATGCCAGGACTCTGTTCCGGCTGTCGGTCCTGCATGCAGGACTGAGAATTATTCCATGTGTACAAGATGGGAGCAGAAGCTGCAATGTGCGTGCTGCTTTCCTTTCAGAGCTCCCCAGTCAGAAACATGGAGTTATATCTGGGAAACCACAACAGAGGGAGGGAGAGACACACACAGAAGGGGAGAGAGGGGAGGAATGGAATAAACTGCCTTTGACTATGACTGATATTTATAGGACTACTTGTTTTTGACTCCAGTCCATTTCTCTGTTCATTTCTGACCTTTCACAAATGGCTCAGCACACTGGAGCGTATTGTAAAACAGGGGCAGCAGGTCCCACAGAAGTTGGCTGTGACCAGTGCTGGGCCAATTCACACAAGCACACCATCAATAGCTCTTTGTCGGAGCATATCAGGCTCTGCGCTGTAGCTAGTGACAGAGGAGAGCACAGACGTGTAAAAAACAAGGAAACAAAAGTTGTTTGGATGCTAATTTTTTCCTAAGAGTATTAATAGATTCCCTTACCCCCTCCCCAAAGCATCGGACTACACTGAGTGCCCCGGTGGCTGCTGAGGTTATAACCTCATATAATCCTGCGGGATTTGACTCTGCAAATACCCTGGCAACCCCTCTGAAAGGTCCTCCCACCACTCAACCCCTTCAGCTCTGCAGCATCCCCGGCCAGGATGCTAAGCACTTCTCAGGGTTAGACTCTTCCTTTTACAATATTTATGGAAAGTTTAAACCATGATCCTGAGTGCTTGCTGTTCCCCCTCACATCTGCTCCTACTTAAGCCAATGGAGAAAAGGTGACATTTGTGCTTGCTTAGCACTTTTTGTCTGTAGCTCTCACAGCCCCGCGTGTAGCGGTAAGGTACTGGTGGACCTGATCCAACTGAAGCTAAACCCAGTGGAGATCCTTCAAGGATTTTGGTTAATTCTGGCTGGGAAGCAAATAGAAAGGAAACTGAGGCACAAAAAGGCTAAATACTGAAAGTCTTGGTATGGTCAAGAGTAAAGTCTCCTGCACCCTAGACAGTGCCAAGTTCACCAAACTGCCTCCCATGATGTCCACATTACTCAGCCAAACTCTATTTATTTATTATGTACCCACACAGTTTGAAATCTCAGAGTGAAATCTTGCATATGATGTATTCCAGATGCTGGGAAAAAAAAACCACAAGGCTGCTCTAAAGGACTCAGAAACTGAAGACCAGTATTATTTATAAAGGTGTGAGATGGATAGAGTTGATGGAGCTTGGAGGGACCTCTAGTCATAAATTCCAACTAAATGTCCTCAGAGTTATAGCTGAAATCACATTTTCAGACATCTAGCATCAGCATCTGAACAGGAGCTGCCTCTGATGGCCGAGTTTTACTAGACAACAACATGATAGACCATTTGGGACATGATATGATGGATAGTTTCAATAGCAAAGAAGGGCACGTAATTCATTTTCCGGGTGGACCAATTCTCATTCACACAAGGCCCTGCATCAGATAATAGGTTAGCTGCTCCAGAAATAAACCCAGCACGAGAAGCTTGTCTGCGGCAGGGAAAGCCTGTTCATCATCCACATGCTGCCCTTTAATTAAAGCTTTGACAAAGTGCCTATCTTCACCGGTTGGAGTGGAGGGATGTTTTAATGATCATGGATCAAAACACAAAGAAATGTATTTGGAAGGTATTGCATTGGAGGTGGTTGAAATTCAGGGAGCCATCATGCAGTATGCTGATGAATGAACTAGCATTCTCACTGCTGCAAGGTTTCACTGCAGACAGGGCTTCACGTGCTCTTCTGTCTACAAAGTATTTGCAGAAGACGACCTGTTGTTGGTAAGCCTTCATCTCTGGCATCTCTGGCATTCAGAGATCCTGGGAAGCCACAGTTTCTACCATTTCCACATGACTGTCCTTTTTCAGGTCCCTGTCTCTGGTCCACAGCAAGCAGTGCTCAGGCTGTGTCAGTATGAGCCAACAGAGGTCCACCAGGACTGAAGTTATGGATGCCACATCCCTGGAGATGTTCAAGACCAGGCTGGAAGGGTCTTTGAGCAACCTGGTCTATTGGGAGGTGTCCCTGCCCATGGCAGTGGGATTTGAACTAGATGATCTTTAAGGTCCATTCCGACCCAAACCATTCTATGATTCTACGATTCTATGAATCATGCATTTGTCTGCCTCTGATACTACTGTCCAAGCAGTTTGACCACAACAAGAACTTTACTGGAACCAAACATGTGATCACTTCTCCCCACTCCATTTATTGCACAAAGGCTATGTGTTAAATACTGAAATATGAAATTAAAGATCCTTTTCTGTAGGATGACTCTGTGCAATAGTAACCTCGCCACTTTTGCCCGCCGACTGTCCCTGTAGCTGCATTGTATTGGCCACAGAGATAAACAACAGGGGACATCTTCCAGGGTCAGAATGCAACGCTCATGTGACAGACTCTTTGACATGAACACAGGCTCATTTTTGTCTTCACAAAGACGAATTTCAAGATTATTTCAAAACTGATGGAGAAAATAGTGTCAGGCACAAGAAAATGTCTTAAGGAACCACATAATGGCTTCCCTGATTCCCACTGATTGGGACCTGGCACTAAAAACATCACGTGCTTGACTGGCAACACAAGGAGGATGAATGGGTTCATGGGTTCTCGCCCAGGCTAAGTGCTACATGTCCTGGTTTTCCATTATCACGGCAATAAATAGCAGAGATATGAGATATACCAGCTCTTAGACTCTTGCAGATGCAATATTCAACTAAAAAATTCTCCTACTGATCAATATTAACTGTCTTTAGAACTTGTCAGAAGTCTGGGGAAATTTTTTTTTTTAAGTAAATCTTGTGGAATTTTCCTAAGTCCTAGGCTGCAGGGTATTTTGTGCCCAAGGGTATCTCTCTTTCTGTTTTTCCTTCAAATTGCACTAAAATTTCAGATTCAAAGCAAAGCACAATAGAAAAAGTTCTAAGGCAGAAGATGAGAAAAAAATTTGATTCCTTGTTCTAGTGATAACTGAAGCAGTTAGTGTGGCTGTGGTAAAAAACATACTGATGGTAAAACAAAAAGGTCACCAGAGTGCAAAAAGTTGTTCCATTCAACCTCTTTCAAAAAGTGAATAGCAGAAATCAGTGTCACAAACTCAGATCTAACCAGAAGTTATTCAAACACATCAAAGCTTAGGGGCCTCTGAATCTATCCCATTGGCTCTCTTCTAACTCTCACTTTAACGTTGCTTACCCCAGATGACCTCTTTTATGGAAATAGCCTCTCAAATACAATAAACAAGAAAGAGAATTTCACTGGGTTCCCCAGGGATTATTCCCAAAGCCTCTGTGTATGTGTGTGTGCATTAGAGGTACACACAAAAACGAGGTTGCATGTGATAAAGAGAAGCTCTAACTTGGTTGATTCTTTAATGCAGTAAGTCCAAACACTCTCTTTATTAAATCATTATTTCCATCTTTTGTAATTCCTGAGAATTTATTATTTTGGCCTTTGCAAACATGAGACCTCTTCTATTTAAAGCAGAGCATCCATCTGACAACACACCAGGGGATTTGTGCAGAACAGGATGTTCTTCTACACCCACATTTTCCCCTCACTTCCTTCCTAGTTTTCTTCTACCATTTGGGAATAAGATATCAGAAGAGAGCTGAAAAGTGGAGACAGTTGGAATGTTTTTGCTGAAATGAGATTTCAGCAAAATATGCTGTTTTTCAAAAGCTGAAATGTTATGTGGGGACACACAGGGTCCCAGAAGTGTTTTCTTAGGGGAGTTTCCGTGGTGGGAGTGGTTGGTGATGGTAGGAAAAAGTCACCTTGCAAAGGCTGGCTTACAAAGGCAGGGGTGTAAAAACAGAGCACAAACTTTAGTGAGTAAAGCCAAAAGCTGAAAAGAAAGGATTAAAGAGCAGATCTGAGCCTAATTAGTCTCAGGATGCTATGTTTGGTCCAGCCCAGCTTGCAAAGATGGGAGCTGAGGAGTCTGGGGAGAAGAACAGTCATATTATTCTTGTATGAGGCAAAAAAAATGACTGGGTCATGAAGCCCACCAGAGAAGGCACCCTGGGTCACCTCCACTAGTTTAGCCAAGGGGTCAAGTCCTCAGTAATTGTGGATTATGAACATGTATGGCAAATAAGGGTGAAAGCTCATTTGGGGCAGAGCCTTTGCCAGCCCACAAGTGCAGGATGGGATGGCAATTCAGCTGTGATGAGCTGGGACGTGTGTCTACCCAACTAGTAGGGAAATTTTATGAACTTCTTTGCTTCAAATAACCAAAGTGAGGATTTGAAGATGAGTCTTTTTAGTCTCCTACACAGGTTTTTCTATGCTCTGTCCTCTTCAGAGCAAATAATATGTCTGCTGCAACAAAGCATGGAGCTGCTCCCTTTGGGGAAGGTGAAGAGGGAGGTCTTGTCCTCTTGGTAAACTTGGATGACAGGGAAGCCTGAGCTTCCAAAACCTTCCTTTCATCTCCAGCTTTCCTTCCCACTCATCAACCTGACACGTCCAGGTTGGATTGCAGGAATTCACTGAACCTGGAGCTAAGTGTGAATCCATGCAAGTTCCAGCTGGCTCAGGGTGCAGCCATCTGCCTTCACCTTGGTGCAGGACGCTGTAAGTCATCCCCATCCTGCAGTAGCTTTCAATGTCAACTGAAGGCCTTGGGGATAATTTTCCAATGAATCAATTAACCTAATGCTACTTCAAAGGCTGAAGATCAGCCTATGGCCCAACCTCAAAGCTGTGCTCCGGAATGAAATGCAACAACTTCATCTGATGAAGGGATCTAGCTATGACACAGTATCTCCAGAGGAGTCCTGAAAAACTTGAGTCTGTGCAATTAAGGCATCAAGGAGATAACCTTTTGGTTTTCTCCAGGGATCTGGGAGAGGATACATGCTATTCTACCCATTCACAGACAGCCTGAGAAAGGGGATAAGCAGTGAGGGAGCACAGCTTGCATGTGACACCATGATACTCAAAGTAGTGAGAACAAGGGTCTGCAGAAAGATACGA